TCTAATCTCGAGATTACGAGCGCATGCACCAAGGTGGTGAGCGCCCCCACATCAAGGTAGGACCGCAGCTGGGCTATCCGCCTTAGATGAAAAAAGGCGGTGCGGATCACCGACGCCACATGGGATTCCATAGTGAGCGCCGGGTCCAGATGGTGCACCACCTGCATCATTTATTACTTAAAATATGCGGCTAAATCCAATCTTATTTCTAATTTGAGTATTCACTGAAATGAATTGAGCTTGCTACTCACAAATAACACAACTTCCACTGATTTCAGTGGGTTTGATCTAGCTGTTGACTAGGATTTACCAGGATTTACCCTGTACGTCCCTCAAAGCTTTAATGCAAATTGTCTGCAATATACTAATTTCCTCAGAAATTCATAGGTAGAACAAGCTGCTTATCCTAGTACTGAAATAGTCATTCAACCCAAGAGCCCAAAGTGTGGCAGCTCTGCCAGATGTCAAGTATTTATTGTTTAAATTGCTGAGGACAAATTTGATCATTATGAAGGAGAGGAAGGTTACCTGAAAACATTTTTTTTGCTGAAAACTGCAACAGTTCCAACAAAACAGTTCACAGGAATTTATAATTACCTATTATTTACTATGTATTATAGCCAACAGTGTCAAAGCAAAATAAATGTGTATGAAGGAAATTTCGTCTTTGAATCATGTACATTACAGAATGCACAAATTCTTTTTACTTTAAGAAAGAACCTGTATACAGGCGTACCTTGGTTTGCAAATTTAATGTGTTCTTTGGGACGTTTCGTACTGCGAAAAATTTGCAAACCAAAACATGATTTCCCATAGGAACACATGCACAGGGGCAGCACTATAAACCTCCTAGGTGCAATGCATCCTGGGGAAGCTTGCTTCATATTGCGAAAATAATTCGTAAATCAAGGCATTATTTTCAATGGATTTTCTTCCGTAAACCGAAAATTACATTAACTGAGGTGTTCGTAAAACCGAGGTATGTCTGTATTAAAGCTCTGGATTTACTGCTTGTGTTTGCTCTGTGTAATAAATACCTTTCCTGCTTCAAAGCCAAATGAAATGTTTTAAAATATTAAGGCATGCACCGCTTATTAAGAGGACTTAGAAGTGCATGCAAGGTGTTTTTATGCTCCTGAAACGATTCTGTGTAAATATTTGTTAGTGCTGTAATTGATTTCAGCTGTGGCAACAGGACAGCCTGATAAACAAAATGTAGTCCCCGACAATCAATAAATATGACCCTAAATATTACAGGCAAATAAAAACATAGCCTTATTCCATGCTGAGTTCTGAATAGACTGAAAGATTTTCCAAGGAAGCCTACAGAGACAAAAGGCTTCCAGCAGCTCATGCAACGGAGATACAATATCAGATTCAGAGAATGGAATGTCCGGACGCACAAAGGACTCTCTACCTACCCATCTGTGCAGAACCACGAGGCTGGATTCCTGCTTGCTGAGGGGAATACCTTGAGCTGTTATTCATCTGCGGGGAGGCCGTTGGCAGCTGGGGCTGAGTGGGAGGGGTAGTGATTGGAACTCCCGGTCTGATGACGGTAGCAGAGTTTGTATGAGCTGGGCTTCCCGCGTGAACAACTCCTGCAGAGCCTTTAGCTGTTGGGGACCCCCCTGCTAAACTCCTGGTCTGACCAGCTCCTGCAGGAACTCTGGGAAGAGACAACAAGGATACAATACACTAATGGGTTGCACAGATACTCAAAGAGTCACAGGACCGACTTTTTGATCCACCATGCTGAACGTTGCATTTGCTAGGTTTCTCCTGGAAAATATGAGGTTAAAAAAGTATGCATGGTGTGCAAATTACTATAGAGGTAATACACAATCGCTGCAATAATATTTGATGAGAGAAGGAAGTTAAATATCTGGCTAATTACTTTGCCACAATTCCAGATTCAAGCAGCTATCTGGAAGCTATCTGGAAGCACTGTTTTTGAACAGAGAAGTCATGTATTAGAATAAGTACACATATTTCTTTTAACGGGTGTTGTTATCAAGGATTGGGGTGGTGGGGGTGGTAGTAGAATAGGAACTTTAGCATGACTAGGACTTTACTGTGATAGCTTCATTTGCAGCAATGAACTGAGGATCCTTGAATGGGATGCTTCTCCCTGTGATAGGCTGAAACCAGCCTGAATTGCTCCTTGACTGAGAAGATGTCTGATGGTACTCAGCTGGATTCCAGCTGCTATGTATCAATAGCAATAGCTTCCTCAGATACCCGCAAAGTATATGTGGATCATCTAGAATAAAGGAGCATACTACTTGCTGCCATGAAATCTGGAAAAGCTAAAGAATTCACATGCTGGAGAACCTGAGAATCTTTTCCTTTCATGGATCTTGAATCTATGCACAGTAGGACCCCTGTATCTGTAGGATTGGTATCTGTGGTTTCTCTTATCCATGGTCTGAAAAGATGAAAAATATTAAAAGGAAAAAAATCTAGAAATATTGTAAATATTTTCACTATGTATTCATCAGAACTGGCCACTACAGGAAGCCAGAGAGCATACTATGTATTCTTGTTGTTGAAGAATAAGTATATAGCATAGTGGTTGTTGTGGGTTTTTTGGGCTCTTTGGCCATGTTCTGAAGGTTGTTCACTCTGTGCTGTCCTCTGAAGATGCTGGCCACAGAGACTGGCGGAACGTTAGGAAGAACAACCTTCAGAACACGGCCAAAGAGCCCGGAAAACCTACAACAACCATTAGATCCCAGCCATGAAAGCCTTCGCGAATACATATAGCATAGTCTCTGGCTCCCCCTAGTGGCCAGTTCTGGTAATACATGAGAAAATACTTTTTTTGGATTTTTTAATTTTACCATGCTATTATAGTGTTCGTTAATATTTGTGGTTTTCAGCATCTGCGGGGTATGCTTGGAACCAATCCAAGCAGATATGAGGGCCCTACTGTACAAAGAAAAAGAACTTCAAAATGTTTTGCCTCTCAACTGTGGAGAAAGTTATCACATTATCACATCTCTAGAGAAAACATCTTCAACTACATGAAACTTCCAACAATTGATAATTCCAGAAATGAAACTGGAAATAGTTTTCTCCTCCACTAGAGAACGCATTGCAAAACTGATTTAAATAGTCTTGCCTAGCTGAAAGAGTTGAATGTCTGCCTCACACACAGAAAGAGTAGGAAATTAATGTATGTCTTTCTCCATTGCAAGAAAAGACAATATGATATAGAAGTCATGAGAGTTGAATGTCATTAGATTTTGAAACTCACCTAATTAGGTCCTAGGATTTCATTTAGATAATTTGATTTCTATGGTCAAAACAGGACTTTCTCAGTGGTGGCAATGTGGCTATGGAGTGGTCTGGTGCCTTCTTTATTATCTTTTGACTGCCAAGTACAGTGGTGCCTCGACTGACAACGGTCTTGACTTGCAACCAATTCGAGTTACAACCAGCTCCGGTTGCAACATTTTGCTTTGACTTGCAACTGGCGCTTTGATATACAACCGGAAAAAAGGCCTCTTTTCCACATTGTTCCCTCCTTCCCTGCCCTTTTCTTAACCTTAGGGGTCATCTTAGGTTTTTAAAAAATGTCTCCCCCTAGTGGACGGATTAACCGCCTTTGCATTAGTTCCTATGGGAACTAATGCTTTGAGATACAACCAGAACCTTGAGATACAATCAAAAAACGGCCAGAATGGATTAATCGTGTTTCAATGTATTCCCATGGGAAATGGTGGTTTGAATTACAACCAACTTGAGTTACAACCATCAACTGGAATGAATTAAGTTCGCAACTCAAGGCACCACTGTAAAGTATTTTTTATTCACATAGGTCTTCAAAATAATATTTTAAAAAGCCTTTTAAGTATAAGATAGTAACTGATAGTATCTTCTGCTGCTAGAAAATAATTTTTAAGATTGTATTTTACTGTTCCCAGTTATTTAAAATTAGTGTTATTCTGTTCTTTGTACTGGAAGCTGGCCAAAGAGTGCAGGTTGATGCGTGGTTTATGCAAGCACAGCAAATATATACAGTACATACAGGAATATAGACACTGTAAGGATGTCAGGTTATATAAAAGAAGCCAATAAAATGGAACCTGAATTTTACAGACATGAACAATACGCACAGAGATCACGAAGGATACATGTATCCATACACGTAGGTTGAGCGTGTTGTGTGAATGAGGCCACAGAAGGAAAACAGAGCATGTGTAAAATCAATAGCACCTAATAATGAATCCAATGTGCACAAGTGAGCATGAGTCTTCACTGTAGGGTGCACTACAGAACTAAGTTGGGGCAAGGTATATTTAGACTTCTTACTATATATAGTAAGAACCAAACAAAAATCTTCTTTCACAGAATTGCTCTCCTAAGCAGTTATACATTCTGTAATATAAAAAGAATACAGACTGCTTGCCCAGAGATTTTGGATTCTAACCCTGGCTAATATAAAGGTTCTATTTAGCTGCAAACAGATGTTACAGCAATGAAATGATATGCATGCTTGTTCAGAAATATATGAATTAAAAACCTAGGAACCTAAATCAGTGGTTTAAATCAACTCTTTTTCTAGATAATTTAAGTCATCCTATAAATTGCCTTGGTTTTAAATCAGTGTGCTCTGCTAGAGTAAAAAATAAGATTTAATGTGTGGAAAAAAGAATTAGTAGTTTAGCTTAAGAAAGCATGGGGATATCAAAAGCTGTCTTATACTAATCTGCTTCAGACACTGAGGGGGCCGCAATCCTGTTTGTAGACAGCATGAAGCACAGTTTGGGTATCTCTGGAAAATGGTTTAACAAATAAGGAAGTTCATTTTAAAGGAAGTTGTACAATATGAGGAAAGGAGGACATGGATGAGTTACTCATTCTTATCTCCCCAACCCCCCCCCCCCGTTTGCCACATGAGAGAAGTGATATTTTAATTGAGGCCCTGGTCACATGAGAAAAATGTTTTCTACTTCTTCTGATACTTTTCATACCTCTGTTATATTGGATTGTAGTCATGTGGTTTATATACCAGGAAGAATGACCCAAGAACTTTTAGCGGTACCGATTTAATTGAATCATTACGGTTGGTTACACCATGGTTTTGTTGTTTAGTTGTTAAGTCATGTCTGACTCTTTGTGACCCCCTGGACCAGAGCACGCCAGGCCCTCCTGTTTTCCACTGTCTCCCAGAGTTGGGTCAAAGTCATGTCGGTCGCTTCGGTGACACTGTCCAACCATCTCGTCCTCTGGCGTCCCCTTCTCTTCTCGCCTTCACACTTTCCCAACATCAGAGTCTTTTCCAGGGAGTCTTCTCTTCTCATCAGATGGCTAAAGTATTGGAGCCTCAGCTTCAGGATCTGTCCTTCCAGTGAGCACTCAGAATTTATTTCCTTCAAAATGGATAGATTTGTTCTCCTTGCAGTCCAGGGGACTCTCAAGAGTCTCCTCCAACACCACAGTTCAAAAGCATCAATTTTTCGGTGGTCAGCCTTCTTTATGGTCCAGCTCTCACTTCCATTGCTATTGGAAAAACCATAGCTTTGACTATGCATACCTTTGTCGGCAAGGTGATGTCTCTGCTTCTTAAGATGCTGTCAAGGCTTGTCATCACTTTCCCCCCAAGAAGCAGATGTCTTTTAATTTCACGGCTGCTGTCACCATCTGCAGTTATAATGGAGCCCAAGAAAGTAAAATCTGTCACTGCCTCCATATCTTCCCCTTCTATTTGCCAGGAGGTGATGGGGCCAGGGGCTATGATCTTCGTTTTTTTTTATGTTCAGCTTCAGACCATTTTTTGCGCTCTCCTCTTTCACCCTCATTAAGAGATTCTTTAATTCCTCCTCACTTTCTGCCATCAGAGTGGTATCATCTGCATATCGGAGGCTGTTGATATTTCTTCCGGCAATCTTAATTCCGGTTTGGGATTCCTCTAGTCCAGCCTTTCGCATGATGTATTCTACATATAAGTTAAATAAACAGGGAGACAATATACAGCCTCGTACTCCTTTCCCAATTTTGAACTAATCAGTTGTTCCATAACTGTTGCTTCCTGTCCCACATATAGATTTTTCAGGAGATAGATAAGGTGGTCAGGCACTCCCATTTCTTTAAGAACTTTCCACAGTTTCCTGTGGTCCACACAGTCAAAGGCTTTTGCGTAGTCAATGAAGCAGAAGTAGATGTTTTTCTGGAACTCTCTTGGCTTTCTCCATAATCCAGTGCATGTTAGCAATTTGGTCTCGAGTTCCTCTGCCCCTTCGAAATCCAGCTTGTACTTCTGGGAGTTCTCGGTCCACATACTGCCGAAGCCTACATTGTAGGATTTTGAGCATAACCTTGCTAGAGTGTGAAACGAATGCAATTGCACGGTACAGTGGTATCTCTACTTACAAACTTAATTCGTATTGGAACAGCGTTCATAAGTCGAAACATTCGTAAGTTGAAGTACCATTTCCCATTGAAATGCATGGGAACAGGATTAATCCATTCCAGCATTTTTTTTAAAAATACCAAAAATAAAAATAAAAACAAAGCAAGTCCCACACTCATAGGCATCCTTCAGTCTCGAAAGACTATGGTAACGTGCTCTGTATGGAGGACTTAGAACAGCGTCTAGTGTGGCTGAGAAGGCCAATTCGAGAGTGACAATCCTTTCCATGCCGAAGACAAAGCCAATGTGTCCCCTGTCCAGCTCCCTGATTTTGCTGCTTTCGGGACTGCCTCTTTGCCTCGGCCTGCTGGACAAGGGTCTCTTCAAATTGGAAGAGGCCATGATGCACCCCCTGCCTCCAAGCTGAACGCTCAGATGTCAGGGTTTCCCATCTGTTGAGATCCATTCCTAAGGCTTTCAGATCCCGCTTGCAGATATCCTTGTATCGCAGCTGTGGTCTCCCTCTGGGGAGATTTCCCTGCACTAATTCTCCATACAGGAGATGTTTTGGAATCCAACCATCAGCCATTCTCACGTCATGCCCAAGCCAATGTAGACATCGCTGTTTCAGTAATGTATACATGCTAAAAATTCCAGCTTGTTCTAGGACTACTCTATTTGGAACTTTGTCCTGGCAGGTGATACCAAAAATGCGTTGGAGGCAATGCATATGGAATGCGTTCAGCTTCCTCTCCTGCCATGCACAAAGGGTCCAGGACTCACTGCAGTACAGGACAAAACATCACAGCACAGAAACATAACCCCCCAGTCCAAACCCACCCTCCAAAACCCACCCAGAACAGTTTTTGAAAAAGGACTTACCAGTTTGAAGGCTCCAAAGTCTCCTGGCGCTCTGCTGCCTCCGCCGTAGCTGAGTGGCCAAGCGCATGGCCAGCTCAAGCCTCCCGGCACTGGGTGACCGCTGCTGGGTGACCAATCGCGGCAGTGGGGGACCCCCGGGATATCTCCCAGAACTTCCCCGCCACCATTGGAGACCTCCTGGGCATCTGATCGCGGAGGCGAGGGAGCAGTTTTAAATTTCCTGCCCTTTTCTACCACCTTGATCGGATCCCCAGGAGTTTTCCCAGGGCTTCCCATCAGAGACCTCCTGGGGGTCCCCTGGCACCACGATCAGATCCCCAGGATGTCTCTGATGGCAGCGGGGAGGCCCTGGGAGCTTCCCTGCTGCCATTGGAGACCTCCTGGGGGGGTCCCCTGCCCCTGCAATTGGACCCCCAGGGGGTCCCCAGAGACCTCCTGGGGGTCTGATCGTGGTGGCGGAAAAGGGCGAGAAATTTAATATTGCTCCCCTGCCACCACAATCAGACCCCCAGGAGGTCTCTGATGGCAGCGGGGCATCCCTGGGGGATCTCTCAGGGTTTCCCCGCCACCATCGGAGACATCCCGGGGGTCCCTTTTCTTAACCGCTGGGGCGAAAGAGCAGCCTCTTCGCCACCAACGGTTTGAATGGAATGAAAAAAGGCAGGGGAAATCTGAATTTCCTGCCCTTTTCCCCTGCCTTATTTTCATTTGCAAGTCGAGCTTCCGTTCGCAGGTCGAAGCAATATTTTGCGAAAGGAGCCATTCCCTACCTCAAAATGTTCGCAAATGGAGACATTCGTAAGTCGAGGTACCACTGTAATTTGAGCATTGTTTGGCCCTGCCCTTCTTTGGGATTCGGATGTAGACTGATCTTTTCCAGTCCTCTGGCCACTGCTGAGTTTTCCAAACTTGCTGGCATTCTTACTTACTACTCTCCATTTCTTTGCTATTTGTTGGACAGACACTTTGCATTCTTGAATTTCCTTTTCTTTGGGATGGTTTTTGTTGCTGCTTCCTGCACAGTGTTATGAGCCTACATCCATAGTTCTTCAGGCACTCTGTCCACCAAATCTAGTTCCTTAAATATGTTCTTCACTTCCACTGTGTATTCATAAGGGATTTGGTTTAGA